CAACAGTTTCATAAACTAGAGTACATATGTATCTGTTCAATACATTTTTATATCAGATGCATTAACTTGAATTTTTGGCCTTGCTGTTTACTTCTGCTTGACCGGGCCCACCTGTAAATGAGTTGAATCACATTTAAACATCAACAAATGAAGGGTTCAGAGTCTAAAGTTTCCGGAGATACCAAATATGTCTGTGTTTCAATTAATTTCATGAGTGTGAAAATCATTTATAATCACTCATTGACGTCTGTTTTCTTAAGGGTGAAAGTGTTTATTGAGTAAATGACTAAATCCCTACAGCTCCCACTAACAAGTAATGATCACCCCGGGGGTCATGTGTCCACTTCCCACCCCATGACCTCACCGTCTCCATGGAAACGCAGATAGCGAGCGAGCGGCGGACGAGGCTCCGTCTGCGGTCAGCTGGTCTGCACAGCTGTGTGGATTTAACGGACTGAATCTGAGACAGGAGCCGGCCCCCACCGCACTCCTCTCCGCTCCGAGTCCAACCAAAGTCTGTTTACTGAAGATATTTGAACTTTAAACCCAACGCGCACGCCGTCTGTTTTCAGTCAGTGTCCGGCTCCGCTCTGTTCTCAGGCCAGGCACGTCAGATAAGAAAGAATTAAAGTCCTAAAGAATCTACGACGATAATGTACTTTTAAGACTCTCAGATTATCTCAAGATGTTGACTCTTACTATATATATTTTTTTTCTAAATGCAAGACAAAACAACTGAAGATGAATGAATAAGAAGACAGGAATACGAAAACGATAAAAAACAAACTCAAGTCTCAAGGAAAATGTACTTTAAAGGTCTTATATTACGCAAAATTGACTCTTGTGAGCTTTAAGTCATGTTATAATGTTGTTTCCTCGTCAAAAACAAACCTGGAGGTGTTTTTTATTTAAGTAACTCTTTATTATTAGTCTGTTTACATCTCCAAAGCTTAAAATATCATGAAGCGGTAGTTTTCAAGTTGACAGCTACAGTACATTTTACCTTTCGTTGAGTAGAAATTGGCAATTCCAAGGCTGAAATCATCCAAATGGTTCTGGTGAAGGTGTATGGGGTTTAAAAGAGTAAATACACTGTATTAGCAGATGACATTGGCAGGTGTACTACATAAAAAGTCGGGTATAGACTAGTTACAGAAGATCTAGTTCGGTTCTGGGAGGGAAGTGAGACCAGGAGACAGTAATATGGTGCAGGATGTGAGCTGTATTAAATGGATAGACAGACAGACGGGATATTTACAGTATATACAAATTTTTACAATATTTACACAATTATTCAAAGTTCAGTTCTGTGTGGTAGGTGGTTGGAGGTAGGAAAGTTTATAGTCTGAGCAATTAGTGAGTGGGAGGTTGACCGAGTCCTGTTTGGCAATTGCTGTGTAAGTGTTGTGTGGGGAGCAGGTTACTGTGCCTCCTGCCGCACTCCAGAAGGTGGTGGTGGTTGTAAGTCTTTAGGCTCGGGGCCTTGGGCAGCTCACCGTTGGGTTCTGCCGGAACATGGGGTGGACGGACCGACGAGTGGAGAGTATAGTCAGCTGGGTATCATTAAGAAGCTGCCGATACGATACATACCTCGATACATAGGCCACGATACGATACATATCTCGATACAGTGAGCTTTCGATTCAATACGATACATTTCAAATCGATTCGATACAGTTCAATAAAAATAAAGGCTAAATCATGTCTGTGATACTAAAAGTCTTTGTTAAACCACTTTTTGTGCGAAGTTTATATGAAACACAAACATTTTAATTATCAAAACTGTGAAAATGTCAAATGTGTCACATAAAAAAAGTTTCCTTCCTCTAAGGCCGGGCGTACACTGTGCGATTTTTGACCCTTTTTGAGCCGATTTTTCGCTCGTGCGACTGTTTTGGGGATCGGGCCGAGTTTTGGCTTCATCGTGTGTCGTGCTTCGTGTAGTTTACATGGGGTAAAGAGAACCGATTAATGACTCACGACCAGCTCCCGATCGACATTCGTAGGTCGCAAGAAAATCAAACTTGTTTGAAATCCAGTCGCCTCTCGTGAAGGATTTCGCTCTGTTGAAGTTGTTCCACAAAACCGATTTGCCAGAATCTGGCAGACTGCACATGCGCGGACGCAGAAGTGGCTCAGCATTGTGTCTCCGCACATCTGTGGTTTTCTAATTCCGTGGTTTTCTTCTTCGTGGTTTTCTACTTCCGGAACAACAACTTTGACAACTCCGGTCGTTATGTGAACGTACAGTGTGAGCAGGCAAGTCGCATCCGAGCATCGGTTCGTTCAGTGTGAGAACATGATTCATGAGCTGTGAACTGTTAAACCCTGTGATTTGGTCGTACAGTTTAAGCTGGGGCTGAGTGACACGACCAGAAAATATCGCACAGTGTACGCCCGGCATAAACAAGCACCAAAACTGTAGCTGTAACAAAATAATTGAGTAAAATATACCAAAAAAATCTCTTGGTGATATATCGATACAGCAACCCACAATATCAATACAGTATCATCACATTAAGCGATACGATATATCAATATTTCAATATTTTTGCACACCCCTAATGTTTGATGGATGGATGAAGGAGGAAGGAAGAAGGAAGGAGGAACCTGGCCAGTTCCCTCTGTTTTTCATGCACATATACAATAACACTTTGCTTCAAACAAACGGCAGAGGCGCCGGAGGAGCAGCTCCTTGCAGGCGTCACCACACACACCGCCCGCCGTATGTGGAGCGCGCCATATTTAAAAGGAAGTAATTCCCGCGGAGGCCCAGTAGGAACTCTCGCGAGAACACTACTAGTTTTATTTCTATTTCAGACCGCAGGCAGAGAGGTGCGGAGAAACCCCGAAAATCACCCGGGTTACAACATCACAAGGTGGAACAGAGTGTTGAGAGAAGAACTCAGCCTAAATATGCAGAATTTGTGTGTTAAAACATGTGAGAATGAAACGAAAACACAACTCCAGGTCTGTTTGTGATGAGGAAACAACTAGCGGTGTGCAAAAATATCAAAATATCAATATATCGTATTGTTTAATGTGATGATACAGTATTGATATCTTGGGCTGCTGTATCGATGCATCGCCAAGAGTATTTTTTGTTTCTTGTTTAGTGGAAGGACACTTGTTGTGACACATTTGACATTTTCACTGTTTTGAGGGTTAAAAATTGGTGTGTTTCATTTTCCCTTTGCTGAAAAAGTGGTTTAACAAAGACTTTTAGTATCACAGCCATGATTTAGCCTTTATTATTTACTGAACCGTATCGAATCGTATCAAATCGAAAGTGCACTGTATCGTGATATGTATCGTATCAACTTCTTAACGATACCCAGCCCTAGAAACAACATTATAACAAAGCTCAGATAACAGCGTAATAAGGGCTCTTGATGAAAATGTTGATAGTTGACAATTTCTTTTCCTAAATGCAAGACAAAAATACAGTTAATAAAACAATACAATTCTATTTAAATAAAAATTTTTTATCAATTATACACAAATACAATACGATAAATATATATATAAAAATCTTAAATCCTCAATAAAAACATGATACAACAAATTTAAAACAAAGAATACAAAGGAATAATCTTTTTTGTCCTGTGAATGAGACTTTTTTTGTAGTATCGATACTAGATACTTTTGTAGAGTTTCGATACTAGTTTCAGTATCAATTAAAATCTGATTTTTGATACTTTTGACTACACTTCTTATTTGTTTTCATGGTGTTAAATAGTGTTAGGAGTAACGCGTTATAAAAGTAACGAATTACTGTAACATGTTGCTTTTTGCTGTAACGCAGTATTGTGGCGTTACAGGGAAAAAATATATATATTTTACTCGGTACAAATGTGAGTAACGTGCGTCACAATGCTTTTTTAACCTGGATTGAAGTGGTGGGTTTTTCGTTTTTCTTCATACAAATTCACTAAAATCACCGCGATATCAGCAGCGGTGAAACGCCAGAGATCCGCCCACGTAGACCGTCAGGTGATCGCAGGCAAAAGGACCGGCACAGAACTCCGCGCTCCACGGGTGCTTCCAAGTTCTAGTCCAAGATTAGTCCTGGTTTAGACCTGGTTTAATCCTGGTTTAGACCTGGTTTAGTTTTGGTTTAGACCTGGTTTAGTCTTGGTTCAGTTCTGGTTTAGACCTGGTTTGGTCCAGGTTCAGCTCTGGTTTAGTCCTAGTTAATCCTGGTTTAGCCCTAGTTTAGTCCTGATTCAGTCATGGTTCAGCTCTGGTTTAGTCTTAGTTTAGACCTGGTTCAGTTCTGGTTCAGTGCTGGTTTAATTCTGGTTTAGACCTGGTTTAGACCTGGTTCAGTCCAGGTTCAGATCTGGTTTAGTCCTGGTTCAGTCCTGGTTCAGTCCTGGTTTAGTCCTGGTTCAACCCTGGTTTAGTCCTGGTTCAGTCCTGGTTTAGTCCTAGGTTTAGTCCTGGTTCAGTCCTGGTTTAGACCTGTTTAGTCCTGGTTTAGTCCTGGTTTTAGTCCTGGTTCAGTCCTGGTTCAGTCCTGGTTCAGTCCTGGTTTAGTCCTGGTTTAGACCTAGTTTAGTCCTGATTCAATCATGGTTCAGCTCTGGTTTAGTCTTGGTTTAGACCTGGTTTAGTCCTGGTTTAGTCCTGGTTCAGTCCTGGTTCAGTCCTGGTTTAGTCCTGGTTCAGTCCTGGTTTAGTCCCGGTTCAGTCCTCGGTTCAGTCCTGGTTTAGTCCTGGTTTAGTCCTGGTTTCTTGGTTTAGTCCATATACAGCGCAAAAGTTCAGCATCTTCGCAGTTATTTTGGTGAGAGTAATTTTAAAAGTGTTGCAATAGTAAAGTAACGCCTCACATTTTAAACCATAAATAAATAACACATTACAGTTTTAATGTAACTTGCCCAACAGTGGTGTTAAATAGAAGATGGAGAACAAACACATGACCTAATTTTGACTGTAAAATGCACCACTTTCTGCAAATTTCATCCTAATTGTGCTTCTTCTTTGTTTCCTTTTAGATAATCTCGTCATCCCCTGCTCTGTGGATTAACGCCCCTTATCTGGAATTACAAACAAAACTCATGGATTACCAGGAGACTGTTGAAAAGGCGACTCTAACAACTGTGCCAACACTACGTCAGCTCGACAGTCTGTCTCAACTGGGCGGGTTTTGAGCTTTTTTTTTTTTTTAGAATTTCTTTTTGTTTTGATTTCACAGTTTTTGAGACACTTTTTGGACTTTCAGAAACTGGATTGGAAAACTGAAATTGAGTCAGAATTGCAATTTGGGTGATCGCTATTCGCAAATATAGAAAAAGCAACAGTTGTATTGTTTTTTGCCAACTAAATATCTTATCTAACCCTGCAGTTTAGACGTCTACATGTTCTGAAATGCACGGGAATCTTCTATTATCTTCTCAAATTTTGTTCTAAGATTGCAAAAAAGAACATTTAATCACAGTTGCAATTTGACTTTGCGCCAAAATCCTTCAGGCCTTTTTGTTTTGGACCGTCTAACGATTCTCAGGACGATATATGCATTTAAACTTTGAACTTTTTTGACCGCCACGATGTATGGAAGTTCTCGCTCCGTGTCCAAGCTGGACGTGGTCGGATCCAACGGGAACGGGTCAGCGTCCGGCAGCCCCGGTCGCTCCCCTCGCCTCCCGCGCTCTCCGCGAATGGCCCATCGGAGAAGCAGCGGGAACATGTCGACGAGCGGACTCACCGGCTCCGGAAAAACCCTGTCTATGGAGAATATACAGTCTATAAATGCAGCTTATGCAACAGGTGGGTGAGTCAGATGAGACGCGTTAAAAATCAGGTATTAAAAGAGACGGAGATGCAATAACAGAAAAGTTTGGACACACTCTCTCATTAAAGTTATTTTTTTTCTCTTTGTTTACTTTTTTCTACATTTTATACACATACAGAAGAAAAATACATGAAAACAAATATAAGAAGCAAGAAAAAAGTTGATCTAAAAGTTAATAATTGGATTTTTTGTGGCCGATATGATAACGATAAAATGAGAGTGGGAGGTGCCAATAGTCGATATAAAATACGATATATTTCATGATGTAAAAATTTACAGTAAATCTTTAATTGATTATAAAACTTAGGTCTGGCTCTACTGGAGTTTAAATTGGGTTTATTTAGGCGACATTTATAATTATTCTGCCTCTTTACATTATATTTGAAGACAGTAGGTCGGCCTAATGGCATTTTTGTATCACATTCTAGCCAGTAAAGTAATAAGTAAACTATCACTTTCAGCCTTCAGCGATAATGAAATATATGTGTAAATACCGATCATTCACACCTCTGTTCACAGCTCATTTACAGATCAGTGCAGGTCCAGTCACGTGTCGACAGCCACTATAGTCACTTTACACTAGGCCGATGTAAGAAAACAGGTTGTTTATGTGTGGGAGCTACAGCAGCTAAACTCTAACCAATGAGAAAGAACCAAAAGTAGCTTCAAAACCAACACATCTGTAACATTCACCGCTCATACAGGCTCCTCTCAGATCACAAGTCTTCATCATCACAAGTCTACGGCATCACAGACACAAAGTACAGCAGATAAATATTGATGCAGCGCCACATATTTGGACATTTATCTGTCTGTAAATTGAATTTAAATTGACATAATATAGAGAGTCTAAGATTTATAATAATGAGGTATAACATGCCCACGTGGATTATCGGCCCATATCGGAAAGATTTAGGCCAAAAGATGATATGTCTCCAAGTGCCCATGGTCTATGTAGTTCCCGCTGTCTTTTTTTTTTTAGCTGTTGCTGCACCATAACTCTTAATTTAAGCAAAGAGACTTGTAATTCGATATATTGTGATGTTCCACGATATTATTGTGAGAACTTTGACGATACAACAGTTATTGTTACATTCCTAGCTGTTTACATCAATCTAATTTTTTTTGTTTTGTTGAGTTTTCAGACTATCTATACCACTATTACGCTGCTATAAATCTTTTTGGCAGTGTAGCTGATGATAATGTCAGTATATTTGTTTTCATGGTAATAAGTGAGAAAATTATTATTTTATTTGTTCAAATATTTAAGATGTGTCAGAATACCACAGTTAATAATTTTATATTTTATTTGTGAAAATCTTTACCTTTAAGTTGTGTGACCTTTTACCTTGCCCCGGAAGTAAACAAAGAGAGAGAAAAAGAGAAAAGACGACAGAGAAAAACACAGAAAAATGTGTAAAGAAAAAGATGTCAAAATAAAAGACACACTACTTAACTACTGCTGGTGATGAATAGGCGAACACAGTAAAGTAAAGTTTTCAATTCTGCATTCATTTAAATCAGGGGTGTCAAACTCATTTTGGTCCGGGGGCCGTATCCAACCGACTTTGATCTCAAAGGGGCCGGATCAGAAAACTCATGTCATATAAACCCCAAAAATAACAATACGTTTAAATATTTGTGCAGAGAAACACAAATCTATTACAGAAATCTTTTTTAATTGATGAACTCTTTCTTTTACAAAATATTATAATATTATGAACAACCTGAAACTTTAAGAAAAATGTAATTTCAACACAATGTTTTAACACGAACTTGTATGTAAACAGGAATAAGTAAATGTTTTCTTGGAAAATCCTGCACTCGGCTCCACTTTTCTCATTTTTGACATTTTTCTGATGAGGATGTCACGGTCGACAGTCAAAACGATCGTCCTTTAAGAGCGTTTGGAAAGAGACAAGTCTTCATTTGTGCTGCTCTGGTGGGAGGGGCCACGTACAGAGACTCTGGAGACGCTGCTGTGATAAACACCACAGAAAATTAACAATATTTTAATAGAAAATATAATTACAATATTTTAGTAGAAAGTCAGCTGAGGGCCAGATTAAAGGTCTTGGAGGGCCGGATCTGGCCCCTGGGCCTTATGTTTGACACCTGTGATTTAAAGATATTTATGCAAACCTAAGCTTTTTTCTGTGTGTATCTTTATTTTGGTTTTCACGGTGTTTCAATGTGTTGACGGAGTTGAAGATTACTGACAATAAATATTGACACACATGATCGTCAGTACGGAGAGTGAAGTCCTTTTTGCGAAGAAAACCGGGGTAGCTACAGGCAGTGTTTGCTATTGTGCGCACTGTGTCACCATAGTAACTGCTGAAAATTTCACCAATAGAGATACATGTAGAACACCCCTTGCCGTGACGTCGCTGCGAAGTATCAACGCTCTTCACTTCTCCGCAGGCGGGCCCATGTATTTCACCGATTCCGCCGAGGACCCGGTGGATCTCGGGAGCCTGAGCAGCGGACTGAACCCGTCGCTCCCGAAAAGCACCATGACGCTGGGCAGGGCGGGTGCCAGGGTGCCCTACGGGGTGAGGGCGGCGGTGATGGGCAGCAGTCCCAATATAAACAGTGGAGGAGGTGGAGGCGGAGGCGGAGGAGGAGGAGGAGGAGGAGCTCTGGTCCCCACAGACGCCATCGCTTTTGGGTCGGATCTGCAGAGCCAGCCCCCTCAGCCCTCCACCGTGCCACACTCCATGAGACAGGTGAGTGAAACCTTTCTGTCTCCATGGAGATGTTTTTATAGATGTTATTGCTTTGCCTGGAATGTTACAGTATGGCATTACACATCCACAAGCCAAGGACCCCCGTTGCGAAATTAAATTGCAGTCTGTCGTGATTTCAAGTTGCAAAACATTTCACATTTCCCATATTACACCATTTTCTGGTCTATGTTATAATGTTGTTCCCATTGTTTCTTCTTTTTTTCTGCAGTATTTTCCTTGATAAATCTACAAAATAACACATTTCTTAGATCTTGTCACATCTCTGTACTCTAACTAACAATAAATGTGTATGTAGACGCTTTGTTTTACATACAGGTACATCTAAAAACAAAATATCACGAGGTTTGACTTTCTGAAATTAGAGATAAAAATATGAAACTTTTTTTTTTTAGATGTATGGTATAGGCAGTGTTGGGGAGTAACAGATTACATGTACCGGAGTTCAGTAATCAGAGTACAAATTATGAGTAACTGTATTCAGTTACAGTTACTGTTTCAGTGAGTGGTAATTGGATTACAGTTACTTTGTTGAAGTAAATGGATTACACAGAGGGATTTTCCTGTTTTCACATTTTGGGATATATCCCGTTTTTTTTTTTTCCCAGTAATTCCACTCATTGCCAGAAAATAAACCAGGTCTAAACTAGATCTAAACCAGGTCTAAACCAGGACTAAACCAGAACTAAACCAGGTCTAAACCAGGATTAAAACAGGACTAAAACAGATCTAAACCAGGACTAAACCAGGATTAAAACAGGACTAAACCAGGACTAAACCAGGTCTAAACCAGGATTAAAACAGGACTAAAACAGGACTAAACCAGGACTAAAACAGGATTAAACCAGGACTAAACCAGGACTAAAACAGGACTAAACCAGGACTAAACCAGGATTAAAACAGGTCTAAACCAGGACTAAAACAGGACTAAACCAGGACTAAAACAGGATTAAACCAGGACTAAACCAGGACTAAAACAGGACTAAAACAGACTAAACCAGGACTAAACCAGGACTAAAACAGGACTAAACCAGGTCTAAACCAGGACTAAACCAGGATTAAAACAGGTCTAAAACCAGGACTAAACCAGGACTAAAACAGGACTAAAACAGGACTAAACCAGGACTAAAACCAGGACTAAACCAGGACTAAACCAGGACTAAAACCAGGACTAAACCAGGACTAAAACCAGGTCTAAACCAGGATTAAACAGGACTAAAACAGGACTAAACTAGATTTAAGACAGGTCTAAAACAGGTCTAAAACAGGTCTAAACCAGGACTAAACCAGGACTAAAACCAGGATTAAACCAGGACAAAAACCAGGTCTAAACCAGGACTAAATCATGCTTGCGTGGACGTGTCTCCTCGTCTTCTATAAATAATATTTTTAATTTGGTTAAATAAAGTCTGGGCTTTTTATTTTCTTTTAACAGACAAAACATGTTATCTTATGTTACAATTTCCTCGTCTTTGCTTCTCTACAGTAAATCAAGTAATCCAAAGTATTCAGATTACGTTACTCTTCTTAAGTAATTTAATGGATTACGTTACAAACTACATTTTGGGGTATGTAATCTGTAATCTGCAGGGGAATACATTTTAAAAGTCACCTTCCCAACACTGGATATAGGAGAGTATTAACATATATAAGTTAAATCAAATGTCAGTGTTATTCTGTACCAGTGAGGTTTTAAATGCCTGAACGATACATAATACAGGAGATCCCTCTCTCTCTCTAAAGATTTTATGTTTTTCTGAAGTCGTCCTCTAAATAAAATAAGAGCCATGCGGACCAGATACACAGGCCTTGCTTCCCACTGTCTCTGCAGCATTAGTCACTGCTCCACTGTACAATATCACCATTCTTACCACACAAACAACCACACAAACAACCACACAAACAACCACACAAACAACCACACAAACAACCACACAAACAACACACCAACACACAACAACCACACAAACAACCAACAACACACACAACACAACCACACAACAACCACAACAACCACACGAACAACCACACAACACACACAAACAACAACACACAACAACCACACAAACAACACACACAAACAACCACACAACAAACACAAACAACACACAAACAACACACACAAACAACCACACACAAACAACCTCACAAACAACACACACAACAACAACAACAACACAACACAAACAACCACACAACAACCACACAAACAACACACAAACAACCACACAAACAACCACACAAACAACCACAACAACCACACAAACACACACAAACAACCACAACAACAACCACACAACAAACAACCACACAACAACCACACAAACAACCACACAAACAACACACAAACAACACAAACAACACAAACAACACACAAACAACCACACAAACAACCACACAAACCACACACAACACACACAAACAACCACACAACAACCACACAAACACAAACAAACAAACAACCACAACAACCACACAAACAACCACACAAACAACCACACAAACAAACAACCTCACAAACAACACAACAACCACACAAACAAACAACACACAAACAACACACAACAACACACAACAACCACACAAACACACACACAACACAACAACCACACAACACAAACAACCACAACAACAACAACAAACAACCACACAACACACAAACAACCACACAAACAACCACACAACAACCACACAACACAACCACAAACAACCACACAAACAACACACAAAACACAACCCACTCACAAACAACACACAACAACAACAACACAACAAACAACCAGACAAACAACCACACAAACAACCTCACAACAACCACAACAACACAAACAACCATCACAAACAACCACAAACAACAACACACAAACAACCACAAACACAACAACACACAAACAACACACAAACAACACACACAAACAACCACACAAAACAACCCACACAAACAACACAACAACACAAACAACCTCACAAACAACCTCACAAACAACCACACAAACAACCACACAAACAACCCACAAACAACCACACAAACAACCACACAACAAACAACCACACAAAACAACCACACAAACAACCTCACAAACAACCTCACAAACAACACAAACAACACACAACAACCACACAAACAACCACACAACCACACACACAAACAACCACACAAAACAACAATCACAAACAACCAACACACACAAACAACCTCACAAACAACAACTCAACAAACAACCACACAAACAACCACACACAACACAACCTCACAAACAACCTCACAAACAACCACACACAACAACCACACAAACAACCTCACAAACAACCTCACAACAAACAACCACACAAACAACCACACAAAACAACCACACAAACAACACACACAACAACCACAACAACACACAACAACCTCACAAACAACACACACAAAACACACACAAACAACCACACAAACAACCACACAAACAACCACACAAACAACACACAAACAACACCACACAAACAACCACACAAACAACACACAACAACACACAAACAACCACACAAACAACCACACAAACAACCACACAAACAACCTCACAAACAACCACACAAACAACACACACACACAAACAACACACAACAACACACACAAACAACCACACAAAACAACACCAAAACAACACACAAACAACACACAACCACACAAACAACCTCACACAAACAACCACACAAACAAACCACACAAACAACACACAAACAACCACACAAACAACCACACAAACAACCACAAACAACCACACAAACAACCTCACAAACAACCACACAAACAACCACACAAACAAACAACCACACAAACAACCACACAAACAACCACAACAACACACAAACAACCACACAAACAACAACAAACTCACAAAACAACCAAACAAACAACCACACACAACACACAACAACCACACAAACAAACAACCACACAAACAACCACAAACACACAAACACACACACAACACAAACACCACACAAACAACCACAAACAACCACACAAACAACCACACAAACAACCACACAACAAACAACACACAAACAACCACACAAACAACACACAACAACACAAACAAACAAACAACACACAAACAACCTCACAACAACAACCTCACAAACAACCACACAAACAACCACACAAAACAACCTCACAAACAACAACCACACAAACAACCACACAAACAACCACACAAACAACCACACAAACAACACACAACAACCTCACAAACAACACACACGAACAACCTCACAACAACCACACGAACAACCACACAAACAAAACCACACAACCAACAAACAACCACACAAACAACCACACAAACAAACAACACACAAACAACCACACAAACACAACAACTCACAACACAACAACACACAACAACCAACCACACAAACAAAACATCACAAACACAACAAACAACACACAAACAACCACACAAACAACCACACAAACAACCACAAACAAACACCACACAAACAACAACACAAACACAACCCACACAAACACCACACAAACAACCTCACAAACAACCACACAAACAACCTCACAAACAACCACAAACAACCAACAAACAAACAACCACACAACCACACAACACAACCACAACAAACACAAACACCACAAACAACCACAAAACAACACACAAACCACACAAACAACCACACAAACAACACACAACAACCTCACAAACAACCACACAAACAACCACACAAACAACCACACAAACACAACACAACACACAACACCACAAAACCAACATCACACAAACAACACACAAACAACCACACAACACACAACAACACACAAAACAACCACACAAACAACCACACAAACAACCACACAAACAACCACACAAACAACCACACAAACAACCACACACAACCACACAAACAACCTCACAAACAACCACACAAACAACCACACAAACAACCACACAAACAACCACACAAACAACCACACAAACAACCACACAGCAAGACTTAGACCAACTTCACTTTATTGATCCACAAGGGAAATTACTTGGACACAGTAGCTCACACTAGGGATGGGCATGATTAGTCGATTAATCGATAATTGATCATTAAGAATTTCATCGATTACGTTCATTTTAATCGACAAACCGAATGTAGGTTGCTGTGTGTAGTGTGACTAAACAAGTCTGTACATGTGTCTCTGCATCAGAAGGAGCGAGACACAAACAGTGGGTCAGTCTGCAACGTACTGAAGCACAAATGTGTATTTAACGATGATTTGTACAAGAAATTCCACACTTTCCGTTGCGTTCGGGACAAGTGTGAGTCCATGTGCACAGTGTATAAAGCAGCACATATGTTTCTGTGTCCAGTGGGAAAAAGTTTTACGAGGTGAGAGTCGCTCAATGTCGATGACGAGTCCCCACCTCCCTCCCCCCGTACGGTGTCCTGGTTTTGACAAACGCAAATCTGGTCACACTAACCTGTATTCACCTGAGTCGTGTCTTTTAATCCAACAGAAATTGAACCACATCAGCGACACAAGAGCTGTAGTTTTATCTTCGCTTAGTTTATGCAAATTAGCGATGCGGTTTTAAGTTTAGTTTCTGTGAAACTTGCGCAAAACTGAATTAAACACATTATAACGTCAAACGGGCTGATGTGGCTCTAGAGTCGTTACGGTTTATATGTCGTAAAGTTGAATTTATTTATGCAGATTAGTAGTGCAGATAGTAATAATAATGATGATCATTTTAATATAAAAACGTTAATGATTAATCGATAATCGATCGTTAATTCTTCCGACGATCGATTAAGAAAATTTCATCGAATGCCCGTCCCTAGCTCACACATCACAATATATTATAAAAACAAAGAGAAAACATGTAAATGATAATAATTAATTCTAAATAAGTAGCAAAAATAGCAAAGGACTGTTGTCAAAATCAGCACAATTGTATAAGTGTATGTAAGAAATAAGTAGTAAAAATATCTCAGCTGTATACAAGAGGTCGTAAGGAAAACAGTGCAAAGATGATAAGGTGAGTTGTTGTACAGTTATATGCAAGAGTTACTGACGAGGTATTATGCCAGATTGACTTTCTGGAGCCTTCTGCCATTTTATAATGTTGTTCCCTCATCAAAAACAGGCCTGAAAAGGTCTGACATGTCATAAAAGCATGTTTGAGCAGTGTTGGGGAGTAACAGATTACATGTACCAGAGTTATGTAATCAGAGTACAAATTATGAGTAACTGTATTCAGTTACAGTTACTGTTTCAGTGAGTGGTAATTGGATTACAGTTACTTTGTTAAAATAAATGGATTACACAGAGGTATGTTCCTGTTTTCACATTTTGGGCTATATCCCTTTTTTATTTAATTTTTTCTTTCCGTAATTCCACTCATTGCCGGAAACTAAACCAGGCTAAAAACTAAAACCAGGTCTAAACTAGATCTAAACCAGGTAAACCAGGTCTAAACTAAAACCAGGTCTAAAACCAGGTTTAAACTAGGAACTCTAAACCAGGTCTAAAACTAACTCTAAACTAGATCTAAACCAGTACTAAAACCAGGTCTAAACCAGGTCTAAACCAGGACTAAAACGGGTCTAAAACAAGGACTACAACAGGATTTAACAGGACTAAAGCTGCGTGGACGTGTCTCCTCATCTTCTATCAATAATATTTTTAATTTGGTTCAGTAAAATTTGGGCTTTTCTTTTTCTTTTAGCAAACAAAACATTTTATGTTACGATTTCCTCGTCTTTGCTTCTCTACAGCAAATCAAGTAATCCAAAGTATTCAGATTACATTACTCACTTTAAGTAATTTAATGGATTCTGTTACAAACTACATTTTAGGGTATGTAATCTGTAATCTGTAGGGGAATACATTTTAACAGTAACCTTCCCAACACTGTGTTTGAGGTATTTAGTGATCTCTTTCAGGCTCTTTTTGAACCCTCCTTAGTTAACTGTATGATTAATAATGACAGTAATAATACATTTTTATTTATATTTTGCTTTTCTAGGCACTCAGAGATGCCGTACAAAGAATACAATGAAGAGTACTTATAAAAACAACTTAATCAGACAAAATATAAAAATATAGGCATGTTAATAAAAGCAGGTTAGACATTAAAAGCAGTTGGAAATAGAAATAGAGGTTTTGAGCAGTTTTTGTTCCAGGCTCCGCCCACAAGCCTACGTCACCCATGTTGTGACTGCGTTCTGAAGGGGGAGCGACTTAGCAATGAGAGTAAAAGGAAAAACTTGATAAAAAAACACGTATAAAACATGTTAATACGTTGTTTTTGACGACTGAAGCATTTTCAAAACGGCAAACGGTAATATTGTGATCTAAATATGTTATGTCTTAGCACTCCTTAGCTACACATAAAATGGCTCAGCTTTATTTTTATTTATTTATGTATTTATTTAAATGAATTAACATGTTTTTGGATTCTTGTTGTAATCTTTAGTCTCTTACAAGTCCAGTAAATTGGCTTATTTCACATGATTTGGGTCCAAACTACAATTAACTTTTTTCCTTTTTCAAAATACTACAAATTATCAAATGATAAAAATATAATAATAATAATAAAGACACTCAAAGACGCTTTTCAGAACACACATTAAAACAGTCAAATACAGCAAAGATAAAACAGTGAAAAATGATGTTGACATACACTCGCAGAAACAGTGGTCTAGCAGAACTGTACTGTACATAAATATTTTGATAAAACCGATGTAACACATTATTTCACTTCCAGGTCAGAGACGGAGCCATGACGGACCTTCAGACGCAGCTCAGAGAAGTGCTGAGAGAAAACGAACTCCTCCGTAGAGACGTAAGGAAGTTTCACGCACAAACTGGAATTTTTATGTATGTAGGTTTTTCAAGTTGCCCTCGTATTCAAGTGTGTCATGAATTCACAATCTCAGATGGAGGAAAGGGGTCAGTATAACTCCATGAGCTATGTTTGAAGCAAATATCAAAAATGGTTGGCTTCTCTTGTGGCTGACCAGCTGACACACTGAGCAGGTTTTAAAACCTTCCTTTGCTCAATAATTTGATCAACAGTGAAGTGCAGCTTGTGCAAGTGCAGAAGTTGAGGACTGTTGGATTGACTGATTTGAGCAATTTGTTTTTCCCGTATTCATGAAGATCCCACATGGAGATAGCTATTTTAACTGACTCGCTCTGAAATGATACTTGAACTCCTCCATTTGAGGGAGAGCGTGTGATTGACAGGTGGATCGGTGCAGTGTCGGCAGTGATGCGGTCGCTGTATCGGACCTTTGTGGTGAAGAGGGAGCTGAGCCAAAGGGCAAAGCTGTGAATTTGCCGGTCAGTCTTCGTTCCTCCCCTCACCTATGGTCATGAGCTCTGGGTAATGACCGAAAGGACAAGATCACGGATACAAGCGTCTGAAATGAGTTTCCTCCGCAGGGTGGCTGGGTGCTCCCTTAGAGATAGGGTGAGGAGCTCAGTCACACGGGAGGAGCTCGGAGTAGAGCCGCTGCTCCTCCACGTTAAGAGGAGCAGCTGAGGTGGCTCCGGCAGCTGTTCTGAATGCCTCGTGGGCGTCTCCCTCGGGAGGTGTTCCACGCATGTCCCACCGGGAGGAGGCTCCTGGGAAGACCCAGGACACGCTGCAGGGACTATGATTCTTTACTGGCCTTGTACTAGCTAGAGGAAGTGTCTGGGGTGAGGGAAGTCTGGGAGTCCATGCTTAGACTACTGGCTCCGTGACCTGGCCCCAGATAAGTGAAAGAAAATGGATAGATGGAGCTCTGAAATGTTACAGACTTTTTCTCCACCAAATATGGCAGAAGACGAAACACTTTGAGGGAATCTCTCGTCTCATCACAGAAACAACAGAGTGGAGTGAAAGTGAGGCTTAAGGAGAGGCTTTCCTGTTGTGTGTTCAGACTTCACCTGTCGCCCCCTGGAGGCTTCTGTGATGCTCCAGATCACAGAGGAGGCACTTTTGTCCTGAGGGCTGTTCTCCTCCTCAAGCTGCCCTAACACTGACCCTACCTATTGAGCTGCACTTAGACTTTAATTTGAGTTTTTCTATTACTACTGTATGCTACTGCTCAGTGTGGGACGAATAAAGTGATATTGATTGATTGAAAACAAATAGCGAGAGGCAACGATCTTAAATGATCCGGGCTTTGAATATGATGTACACTGAACACAGTTTAATGTACCTGTATTATTATTATTATTATTATGGTTTCTTTCTTTGCAGCTGGAGGCGAAAGAGTCTAAGCTGAGTTCCTCCATGAACTCCATAAAAACCTTCTGGAGTCCCGAGCTGAAGAAGGAGAGAGCTCTGAGGAAAGACGAAGGCACCAAGATCTCTGTGTGGAAGGAGCAGTACAGAGTGGTGCAGGACGAAAACCAGGTACAGCAAAATACAGTTTACAGTTTCGTGTTGAAGTACGCATGACAGGCTTTGATGATTCTCTAAATTATGTTTTTTTAGTGGTATAATACCGGCTTTAAATATAAATTTCAGTTTTATATAAATCATGAAGCAGTTTGTGAAGAAAAGTTGAAAGAATTGTTGAAAAAATATAAGAAGAAGAGAGAGTCCCACACTGACAGAATTTACACACAACACATTTTTCTTATACTTTAAACATTATTTCAGCAAAATAAAGGTGTTTTCTTACATTTTTATTTGTTAAATAATAATGGATGTGTAGATCAGAGGAGTTTTGGCCCAGTGTTCAGCATTGTTGATATAAGTAACAGTTGTAGAATTCCCTTGCATAATGTCACGATTTCTAACCAGGGAGTAAAATTCAAAACCTTAAAAACTGCTAATTTAGTGAAATGAGTACCTTATTTTTCAGACTATAAGGCGCATTTAAAATCCTTTAATCTTCTCAAAAATCGACAATGCACCTTATGTAGTAATTCTCGTTGTGCTTATCAGTCAATCACACTTTATTTATAGATCGCTTTTCACACAAAAAATGCAACACAAAGCGACGATTCTCTAAATTTACTGACTTTGAACCAATTTAATGTGGTACACGGCGTTCAAAAATTTGTCAAAATGTTTTAGTGGGACTTTGGTAAGCTACGAAGCCGCGCCGGTGAATGGATTTTCAGAGCATTATGGCGACCGTAGTCAGGAGCCTCGCGGAGTAAGAGCGAGCGAGTTGGTTTTTTTCAGTGCTTATAGTTCATGCAAATTAGCCATGTGGTTTCGTTCGAGTTTTGTTTGTGTAAAGCATAAACAAATGTGCACAAAGCTACATTAAACACATTATTACTGTATATTAGTGTATATTTGAGTCGTCCTCCCCCGGGCGAGTTACTCAATGATCTGCCGATGGATCGTGGTTGTCTGGGCTAAGGATCAGTCTCAAGTGTCTCCGTTTGTTTCGCTTAATTCGCCTTATAATCCGGTGCAATTTATGTATGAAAATAGACTTCAACATTATTGATATTGCGCCTTATAGTCGGAAAATTACAATAGTCTAATCTGTCATAGGCACTTTCACTTGGGCTTCACAGTAGAGACTTTAGCAACATACTGTCATTGTGTCCTTGGGCAAGACATCCAAGCCCCCTCTCCCCCATTGTCTGTGTACACTGGTGTATCAGTCTGTGTTTGAATGGATGTAACATATTTTCCGCACTATAGGGCGCACTGAAAAGCCTTTAATTTCATCAAGAGTGCTTTATAATCCTGAGCGCCTTATATATGAATTTATTGGGGTGTCTTAGTACGACTTTAGTAAACTACAAAGCCGCACCAGTTGCAGCATTACGGCTCCCGTAGTCAGGAGCATCGCGGAGTAATACATACTGTGATTCCTTTTAATATCAAAATGCTCCTGTCAAGAGACACACTCACAAAGCCCACTTTAAACTCAAGGCTGTTATAAAGTGAAAGTGCGAGCTGCATGGAAGCAGTGCCGAGCGACTGCCAACGGATCGCGGACGCCTGGGCTAAGGATCAGTATCAACTGTGGTCCGAGCTTTCACCAAGACCAGAATCATCACTGAACTGAACTGCCAGGGAACAGTAACCACACTGACTCGGATAATGACGAGAGGGATGCGGGCGTGCTGGACGCCGTAATCACCCAACTGTTTGAACAATTATGAGTTATTGTGAATACACGAACAATTTAGCGTCTCACGCAGTATTTTTTTTTTACGCGCTGCAATTGAACAAAGTTGAGAGTTTTTGTGAACGCGTTAAATAAAGTTTGACTGACTTATCTAACTGTTGTGTTTCGTTTAATGCGCCTTATAGTCCGGTGCGGTTTATATGTGAAAAAAGTTTGAAAATAGACCATTCAATGACAGTGCGCCTTATAATCCAGAGCGCCCTATAGTGTGGAAAATACGGTAGCGTGAAGTTGGAAAAGCGCTGTATAAAATGTGACCTTGTAGAGGATTAAGGAGTTAAATGTTGTTTGGTTATGGTTGAAAAACAGTGAATACTTGTAAAACTGCTACTTTATTGTAACACAAGAATCTGATATTGTGACATCCGTTGCTGTGAGGACACGGGTGCTTTGGGGACACTGGCCTGCCCACTGTTATTGTTGTGGATTGTGTGGTTCGGAGGTCTTGACTCAGTGGGTAAAGGGTTGAAGCAGAGTCTGGTCGGAGACTCTGAGCTTCTGTGAGTTCAAAAAGCCATCTGGAGGAGAATGATACTGAGCCACTGTGGCACAGGCTGGAATATTATACAGGGAATAGAGCGGAATGCACTCACACGCTATATACCTGTCTACAGTGACCCACTTAAGATTTAAGCAGTGCTGGAAAAAGTACTCGATTTTGTTACTTAAAAAAAAGAACAGTTTTCTGATCTGTGTCATAATTATAGTTGTTTCCACATCACAAACAGAGCTGGAGTTGTGTTTCGTTTCATTCACACATGTTTAACACACAAACCCTGCATACTGACGATGAGTTCTTCTCTCAAACAGAAAACACTCTGTGATGTCATGTGGTGCTACGGGAAGCGCTCCACTGTGTTTTTCAAATTCCGTCCGTCTTCACTAGAATCATTTGGATGATTTCAGCCAGGGTATTCTAAAAGTAAAATGTAGCTGTTAACTTGAAAGCCACCACTTACTCAAATACTCAAGTAAAAGTATGAAAAAATCAACTTAAGTAAACGTATTAAAGTACCTGTTTTAAAAGTGAACTTAAAGAGTAAAAAGTAGAAGTATTTCGTGCAGTTTTACATCTAATAAAGCTTCAAATGTAGTGATTTTGATAAAGATTTGTGCAGAATTTTGTTCAGCAGAAACAAATGAATAAGATGTTTTTCCTGTTGCAATTTACTGTATTTTTTGGACTATAAGGCGCACTTAAAATCCTTAAATTTTCTCTAACATCAAGAGTGCGCCTTAAGTATTAATTCTGGTTGTGCTTATTGACTGACAAACTGATTTTATGTGCTGCACAGCGCTCAAAAATCTGTCAAAATGTTTTAGTAATTGGATAAGCTATGAAGCCGCACCGCTTGATGGATTGTCTGAGCATTTTGGTTATTGTAGTCAGGAGCCACGTCTGACAGAAGCTGACCGCATCAGCGCACAAGGAGCGAGCAGTTTTTTTCAGCGCTTATAGTTTATGCAAATGAGCCACGTGGTTTTAAGTTTAGTTTCTGTAAAATGTAAAAAATGTGCGCAAAGCTGCATTAAACACATTATTACTCAATGTATATTTGAATTCTCCTCGTAGGAAAAAAAAAAAAAAACTTAAAATATCCACCCACATTCACATAATACACATTCACCAAGACAGGGAGACAATGTTGGGCAAATTACCGTATTTTCCGCACCATTGGGCACACTCTTGCGCCCTATACACGAATCCTCTCGGGTGTCCCAGCACGACTTCAGTAAACTACAAAGCCGCACCACCCGCAGAACACGCAAACACACATGGAGCAGACAGCGACCGCATGGCGAAAAACACCCACAGACACACTCATCACTCCACGCCGACGAGGAACGGAACGGAGGAACGAACCGAAAAAGCGAGTGCAATGTGCCACTTCTAGACACGACTGAACAACTGAGTCACTGCGAACACGCCGACAATCCAGCGATCCCAGACAGCACCCTCCCTACACGCCACAACTGAACAAAGCCCAGAGTCACCGTGAACGAACAAACAAACAAAACCACTCACCCATCACACTGTTGTGTTTCCTTTAAAGTCCAGTGCGGTTTATTTGTGAAAAATGTTCAAAAATAGACCATTTAATGACTTATAATCCAGAGCGCCTAATAGTCCGGAAAATACGGTACTCCACTATTTGCCAATGGATCGTGGACTCCTGGGCTAAGGGATCAGTCTCAAGTGTCGTCCGTTTGTTTCGCTTATTGCACCTTATGTATGAAAATAGACGAGAGAATTCAACATTATTGATATTGCGTCCTTATAATCCGAAAAATATGGGATATATTTTTACAAGTTTCTCTTAAGTTGTTAAAACGATCAATACCTAGATACTGAAACTACTTCTACTTACACTAAAATCAAAACTATCTAAGTATCAATACTGAATACATTACATAAAAAGAAGAAAGCTGAATCTTTCCTTAATAATTACGTCCGCCAAGGAGGTTATGTTTTTGCCGGCGTTTGTCTGTTTGTTTGTTTGTTTGTCTCTTAGCAACATAACTCAAAAAGTTATGGACCGATTTTGATTAAATTTTCAGGATTTGTTGGAAATGTGAAAAGGAAGAACTGATTTCATTTTGGGGGTGATCCGGAAGAAATCCTGGATTCTGGATCACTTTGAAATTTTAGTTAACATTGTGGTAAATGGGGCCAAAAATTTTGTTTCTCAATATCTGGGTTAATTATTGACCAAACCCCATGAAATTTGACTCAGGGATGGACAATGGGATCCTCTTTCATATTCCAAAGGCTGATCCGGATCTGATCCAGAAGACTGATTTTATCGCAATTTATATAAAAAATGGGGGTAGTCCTTGGCGGAGGTCTGCGCTCTCTGAGTGCTTTTCTAGTTTGTTTTACATTTTTTAAGTTTGGTCTTGGTCTATTTTGAAACAAGTTTTTTTTTATGTGTTTATATGTTTATTTTTTGACAAGTACATTTATTTTGCATTTAAGGTTAAGGAGCAACAATTGAAAAGCAATTATGTTTTTTGTTTTATGACTTTCCATTCAAACGTCTTATGCCACAAACGTCATTTCTAAACTCGAGATTGACAATTATTCATTCCCACATCTGTATTTGCCTTGCTTATATATTCTTCATAATTTTAACCCGGACGGAGCAGCAGCACAACTCCAGTGGCCGTTCTTTTCTCCAGTTTAATCGTGTTCTCGACGCCGGAGCCTTTATTGTTCTGATCCTGTTCCATCTCCTCCGTGCAGTGTTTAAAC